CGCAGAGAGCAGCTCCTGAATCGCGCCCGACTCCCCCCCGAATTTGGTTATACTTAGATTTATTATAAAACCAAATTGTGCTATTATTCAATTTGTTTTGTTTTATTTGGTTTGATATGTTTTAACAAATCACTGAACACTAATCAGTGTTCAAAACTGAGGATGAATAGTATCACAACTGAATATCATTACAATAAAACATTCAATAAAATCCAAAACCAATTTCTATGAATTTTTATTTTAATTAATGAATTTGGACACAATTTTCACTAAATTCAATGCCAATGAATACTTGAGATATAGAGATAACTACTGCTCCGATCATTCCTCGAGATCGTCCTCTTCGTCCTCGTATATAATCTTTGCCAAAACACTGGGAGTACTCGGATTGACCGGCGGTAGGGCTGAGCGGCCATACAATCCGCGCCTCCGGAGCACCCGATTGTCGTCACTATTGCGGTACTGTTGGCGATACTGGAGGACACGTTCTCTTCCCTGATCGTTGATGTCGTAAGTGGTCGGTGGCATCACTCGGCGACTCTGCATCGCCGGAGACCAGTACCGACGCTCTGTCACATCTTTCAACACGACTCGTCGCCAATCATTGTCCAGCGCTCGGAACCGCTCGTCCAGCGCCGCATCTCTGGCCGCTTTAGCCTCGGCATAAGTGGGCGCCCGACTCGTCGCTGGCCACCCGCTCAGGTCGCCCTCACTGGCCCACCGCCGCCCGCTGAACGTCGATTGGCCGAACTCACGGTTGTCGCGCATCCCCCGCACCCGTCCCGGCAAAGTTCGCGGCCCCGCCAGCGCTGTCGGCGGTGTAAACCTGTCGCCGGACTGGGTATACCCTCTGCTCAACAAGTATTGCCTTTGCCTGTCCTGTTGGCCACTCAGGTGCAACTGACCCGAGCCTGTTGTCAATCGGGACTGTTTGGCCAAATAGCGGCCCATTCCTGTACTCCGACGGTCCAGATCTTCAATGAATGGTCCCTTTCCCGGATTCACCTGCTCTGGCCGTCGCATACGACCCCAATCGGGTTCACCTGTGTTTGGGTCCCGGTATCGGTTCGCAAAACCCGTCCCATACTGTGTGTCGATTGGATAGTGAGGCGGATATGGAGGCAAATGGATTGGACCGCTGAATGAGTGCGATCGCTGCCGACCGACGGGGAAGGGTTGTCTCATTTGAGGGGACTGTGTTGACGGACCGGCCCCTGAGGGCCAACCCATTGCGCCGCTGGTTGTTGGCGGTGGCGGCCATTCAGGAGATATTCTTTCCACAGATTGTGTATTGTCTCCCCGGTTCAGATCCTCATAATAGTCAATGAGTGCCCTGACATCTACCCTATCGGGCCGTCTGATGTCTCGATCGGGCATTTTGTGTGTTTAATATCCCGTATTAACCCCGGGGTTGTGTTTGGTTTTATTTGAGTTTAAAATTTTTTAGAAATATTTTAATTTAAAACATTGTTTGAATTATCATTTATTTAAATGTTGCTTAAATATCAAAACAATATTAAATTTATTGGAAATTATTAAAATTTTATTTACTAACTTAAGTCAGGATCAGTATTAGGGTCAGGGTCAATTAGTTTTGTAAAAAACAATATGGTAACATATTTTTAAAGCTGGTTCTATATAACTGTTTTATAAATAAATTAGTTACAAAAAGTAATTTTCCCAAAAATCTTCACAAGTTTCTTCGTAAGGGCTTTGCATCAAATAATTTTTTTGATCGGCCGTTAAATGCATCACTTGGTCGGCGAATTGATTGTACTTTTTACGGGCCATCAGTTGTGGCCAATTATTATCGTTCGGTTTGCTTACGAGAAATGCAATTTAAAACACAAAACAAAATATAATTATACGCAAAACTGGACTAAAAGTTACACATTGTTATTAAATATACCCATATTTGGCAAAATTAGTCCATAGTTTCATCACTTGAACGCTGAAATGCATGTCACGTGTGGTGTAGCCGTCATTTGGGTAAATGAATGGCGCTCCAGACACAAACACCAGATCAGATCCATGACATATACCCATTGTCTTTTCATTGCAGCCAACATTTTGGGCTAATTTTGATTGATATCCCATTTCATAAAAATATACATTACTATTGAGTGAATGTCTGGCAAACTGTTTGGCAAATAAAAATGTGGGACATTTGACAAATATATCGCCATAAAAGTCATAAAACACTGGCCTAAAGATCGTTGGATTACTTTTGTAGACATTCTTCAGGTAATAGTCAACAACTTTTGTCACATTAAATGAATGAAAAATACTTTTTGATTTGTTCACTAATTCTGTGAATGTTTGTTCACTGATATCATTGACTAATTCTGGCCATTGATTCAGTGCTAAAAGCGAGCCTTCATTTTGCACAACACCCGCCAATATATCTAAGTCTATGGAAATAATCTAGATTTAGGTGATAATATAAATTCACCAACTACATTTGTATAAATAAATAATTAATTAAATGTTATAAACAAAAATGTTACCCCGATTATAATCCTGGCCTATAAACGCTTTTTGTGCGATCATAGGCAAAAGTTCTGTGCCCTCAACAATAGGTTGTATGGGTGTATCAACCATCATGAGCAATTTCCTTAAGTTTACATTACGTAAACAATTGAGCCATTCTATACTATAATCACCGATTTTTCCACAATGTAATTGTCGGGCCATTTGTTTCGCTTCATTAATGGCATCCGTTTTACTGTAAACTTCTTTACCCTTTGCGTGCAATTGAGCGCCGCTTTGAAGTATCGCCCGTCGGAACAGACCTCGCGATTGGGGCGACAGTACGAGAGCCGACACCGATATACTGCCGCCGCTCTGACCGAACGCTGTTATCCTATTTCTGTCGCCGCAAAACGATTGTGAATTATCTCTGATCTAATCCATGATTTGTTTATAAAATTGTAACAATTTTTAGATGTTATGTCAATTAATACCCAGTTTAGGGCTTGTATTTGATCATAAATGGCCACATTTCCCGGTGCGGACTCTTCACCTCCGTATAAGTAGCCTAAAACAGACACTCTATAGCTGACTGATATGACGACCACATCATGGGCTGCGAGTGCAGAGCCGTTGAAACGTCTGGTCCTATGGATAGTGTTGACCAGAAGCGTGGGCTCTTCCATGTATACCATCACAGGATTTAATACGTTATTAGTTCTGAAACTCGGCGCCCATATATTCAGATACAGACAGTCTTCAGATTGATTCGCGTATGACATGGAGTGATGCAAACATTGAGGTCTAAAGTTGGTGGCCGTCCTATTAAGCTAGCGCAATATAATTAACAATTTGTAACCTCCCATTTAATTATGGTTAAATTATATAAATAATTGTAGTAAATCTTGTACCGGTTCTGTGAGTGCGATGGGCACTAGTTTTGCGAATCTAAGGGTTCTGACGGGCGGTTTGGCGTACGGTATGCCTAGAAATTCATCGATACTTATGTTTAACGCCTCAACCGTTTGCCCTTTTATATAGCCTGACGTTGTATTTATGTGAAGATTACATCCAAACACTGACTCTAGGGCTTGTATTTGATCATAAATGGCCACATTTCCCGGTGCGGACTCTTCACCTCCGTATAAGTAGCCTAAAACAGACACTCTATAGCTGACTGATATGACGACCACATCATGGGCTGCGAGTGCAGACCCGTTGAAACGTCTGATCCTATGGATAGTGTTGACCATAAACGTGGGCTCTTCCATGTATACCATCACAGGATTTAATGGGTTATTAGTTCTGAAACTCGGCGCCCATATATTCAAATACAGACAGTCTTCAGATTGATTCCCAAATGACATGGAGTGATGCAAACATTGAGGTCTAAAGTTGGTGGCCGTCCTATTAAGCTAGCGCAATATAATTAATAATTTGTAACTTCTCATTTAATTATGGTTAAATTATATAAATAATTGTAGTAAATGATGTACCGGTTCTGTGAGTGTGATGGGCACTGGTTTTGCGAATCTAAGGGTTCCGACGGGCGGTTTGGCGTACGGTATGCCTAGAAATTCATCGATACTTATGTTTAACGCCTCAACCGTTTGCCCTTTTATATAGCCTGACGTTGTATTTATGTGAAGATTACATCCAAACACTGACTCTATGAATGGCATAATTAAGATCACACCAATTGACCAAGATGATTTCATGGTTTATTTATTTATTTTTAGACATAATAATACAAAATAAAACTACAAACATAATAAAATGTCTTCTCGTTTTGAATTTGTGCTATTTTGAAATGTAATTAAAATATTAAATTAATTCTTATTACAAAATATTTATTAATTTTATAATGTTTGTTTATAAAATTTATATAAATACATTAGTTTCATGCAATTAGGGTGTAAACATTAATTCACAAAATATAAAAATGTTTACATTTCTAGTTAAATGTAATACTGTATTTTATATAATACTAGTTAGTTGGTAAAATTGTTATTTATCATAGCATGAATTATTTTACATGATCAGTGATCACATATTTTCAGTCATATAATACAAGAGATTTTTATAATGATCAATTTATTAAAATGCAATTTAATATAAAAAGTATTAACAAATATATTTTAATAATACATTTTAAATGACAAAAGGACTTTTTGGGCTATCGTACACTTAATCATGATTATTTAATAGGTTAACCATTTACAGCGCTGTTTTTGTACCATGGCACTTTATGTTTATAGTCCTTTTATACACACTCTTTGAGCTCATATTTGATACACACTCTCATTGATAGCCCTTTTGTATTGCAATACATTGACAGCTGTTTTACACACTCTTATAATTTAAACTTAAATCTAATCTTAAATCTATGAAAACATTTTTAAATAAAAATTATTTATGCAAACAATTTTATAGCAATTGTTTTGTTACAGTTTTTTGTTAAATATTTTTATTAGAGAGAGAGAGAGAGAGAGAGAGAGAGAGAGAGCATTAATATATACAGGTGGATTGTATCAGGTAGATTCTGGTTTCTATTGACTTAAAATGTAATATATTATAGAGATGTAATTTCTATTTATTTATTTTCATTTATTAATTTTTAGTAAATAAATTTTTTTTTAAATTCAGTTACAATTTTTATGATTTTTATAAAATTGTAAAAAACAATTGAATTCAAATGGCATTCAATTCATCATTAATTTATTTCACTTAAGAGATAAAAACCCTTGAGAAGTGTTGGGAATATCATAAATTACCATGGCAACATTACATTTATGTAATTAGTCTCAAGTATGACATTGTAAATGTTAGGATACACTTAAAATGTACTAACATTTACACAAACTTCATTATTTCTTTCAATACGAATCAAATAAATGTGTTTATTATTGAATTTAATAAAGTGCTAACAAGTTTATTTAATTTTATTTATAAATGTGTTTCAATTATATTCATACGAGTTAATCTGATTTTAAAAATAAATATTGTGTAAATTATATTACTATAAATTTTGTGTTTGCATAACAACATATTTTTCTAACTTTATTTTTACACATTTTACGATAAAAATAAAATAAAACACATTTTGATTGTGATTTAAATGAAATAAAATGCCACAAAAACGTCGGATATGTCTGGTTTGTGGCGATAAGGCTTTCGGTATGAAATACAATAAATATAGTTATAATTAAAAGACCATGTCTTGTACTAGTGCTATTTATTTTAGTATTTAAACTATTAAAATGATAAATTATTACAAAAGTTACTAAATATTGTTTAGGCAAGAATTTCAATGCTGTTACGTGTGAGTCGTGCAAAGCCTTTTTTAGGCGAAACGCTGGCAAATCTGATGTAAGACAAGACAATATATTAATTATCATATTATAATTACCATGATCATATTTACCTTGTATTAAAACAGCGCATAGTATGTCATTTCAACGACAATTGTACAGTAGATTTACCGACGCGAAGGTGTTGTCCCAATTGTCGGCTCAGAAAGTGTTTAGCCGTTGGGATGAAAGAGGTTTGCAATTGTTTTATATCAATCGTAATATAAATAGATCTAAAATATTAATCAATTATTAAACAAATGAATACCAGAATTGGATTCTCACTGAAAGCCAGCGATTGGAGCGAAGGCTTAGAATTGAGTTAAGAAAACAGTTGGCGGAAGAAAACGTGAAATTCAGTGACAATGATATCGACGCCACGGATGACACAACTCAACAGATATCGGATTCAGACAACACATCTACTAATGATATCGATGTGAACGACTATACCAGTGATTGGGTATTAGAGTCAACCATCAATTATAACGATGTTTGCGGTGAACAGAATCTGACAGATATTGCAATACAAACACAAGAATATACAGAATATTACGAAAACAGCGTAAGACAGGTACCAGAGCTACCTGTGCCCATCAATCGGCCCATCACTGACTACAACAACAATTTTAATGAGACTGAGTTCAGTCATCTCAACGAAATTATGTTTGCAGTCAATCACATGCAACCAAACTGTGCGCCGGCGGTCGCGTGGGAACCGACTGAACACAAAGACATAAGTTACAATGTGGTCGCCAAACAAGAGGCGGACATACCATTGATGGTGAAAATGTGCCGCAGTTTGCGCTCGTTTAATATGTTGTGCGAGAGTGACCAGTTGTCACTTATTAAGTACGGAGTTTTGGAAGTGCTCACTTTACGCAATGCAAGGTTCTACGATACTACAACCGATAGCTGGATTCTGGTCATGGTAATTGATTATTTTTACATTATAAATAATGCTAACTTATTGCTAAACATATGCATTAATTGTAGGATTCAAATAAATCAGTGAGACTTAAATTGGATTTAATGAAGAGACACAATAGACTGGATAAATATAATCATAACAAAAGGATATTGTCTAATATATATAGCAATTCTGATGGCGATCACAATGTCATTGATTTGGTATTTATTATTAATATTTTGTTATCAATTATTTTATTCACTAACACTTTTGCATTTATTTTAGTTATCATTAATATTATTTTTCAACCCAAATCGTTCGGACCTTAAATTCAGACATATGGTTAAGTAAGTGATTGTTAAATAACTAATTATTTTAAAATATTCTCACAAATTCTTATACTAAACTAGATATCAAAGGCATGTTTACATGTATTTACTTAAGAGATATTTACAACTCAAATATCGGTCGGAATCGGAGGCAAACGCAAGACTATTAAGTCTAATGAACAGTTTTGAGGACATCCAAGCGTTGGTTAAAATTGGCATTAAAACCGTTATTCAATACTCTATGGAAACCTCACAACCCATGCAATTATTGCTTGAATTATGTAATTCACAGCATGAGTGCAATGATTTTTACCACATCTAAATATTTATTATACTTTTTGGCTAAACTCAGTGTAAAAATGTGGATTCAATGTATAAATAAATTCAATCAATTTATTCTTAAATTACATTAAGACTATTATCTCATTGACCATACTTTGCAGCAAATTTTAATGTGAAAATATTTTAATTTTATTTATTCCTTAATATTTGTTAATAAATTTTACAAATTAATATTATAAGCAATATATTATTTGTATAAATTTTCAAATAGAAATCATTTTTAAAAATTTTAATAAAATAAATAAATGTAATTTCAAATTATAGTGAATTCAATACTAAATCATATCGTTTAATAAATAAAACACTGAAGGATTGCTATGAGTACAATAGACATGTACTGTATATTATTACAAAGTTAACAATAACCTTGATAATATTATAGCAAATTATAGTGAATTCAATACTAAATCATATCGTTTAATAAATAAAACACTGAAGGATTGCTATGAGTACAATAGACATGTACTGTATATTATTACAAAGTTAACAATAACCTTGATAATATTATAGCGACATCGTAAATTATTAAGATGACATTTAAAGATTGTGATGCATTTAAAATGCACTAACATTTCCAACTTTATAAACATTTAGTTTCAAAAATGTATTCATTTGGTGTTAATTAAATAAAATGTTTAATAGAGTGATAGACTTAATTATATAACTAGTTTAATTAATTTTACTCATAAATATTAGATTAACTAAAATAAAAATTTCAATTATAATATATAATAAAATGTCGCAGAAATATAATATATGTCTGGTTTGCGGCGACAAAGCTGTCGGTAAGAGATATAATAATTATACAAAAATTATAAATTAATAAAATTACTAAATATTGTTTAGGCAAGAATTTCGGTGCCGTTTCGTGTGATAGTTGTAAGGCTTTCTTTAGGCGAAATGCCGGCAAATCTCATGTAAGACAAGACAATATGATAAGAATATTTATAATTACCATAATTACAATAATGCTTTATTTCAATTACAAATACATGGCATAAAATGTGATTTTAATGACAATTGTACAGTTGATGTAATGACACGAAAATATTGCCGCAACTGTCGGCTCAGGAAGTGTTTGGCGGTCGGTATGCAAGAGGTTTGTCATTGTTTTCATCCAATTATATTAAACCATTCATTAATTGTTTAACAAATGTATACCAGAATTGGATTCTCACAGAAAATCAATTATTGGAGAGAAAGCGAAAACTGGAGTTAAGAAAACAGATGTGGAAACAAAATAAACACTTTATTAATAATTATAACGACACGGATGACACAACTCAAGAGATATTGCATTTAGACATGAAATCCATTACAGATACTGATGTCAACGCCTATACCAATAATTCCGTACAAGAATTAGAGTCAATCATCAATTATAATGATGTTTGCGGTGAACAGAATCTGACAGATATTGCAATACAAACACAAGAATATACAGAATATTATGATAACACCATAAGACAGGAACCACAGCTACCGGTGCCCATCGAGCGGCCCATCACTGACTACAACAACAACTTCAATGAGACTGAGTTCAGTCATCTCAACGAAATGATGTTTGCAGTCAATCACATGCAACCAAACGGCGCGCCGGCGGTCACGTGGGAACCGATTGGTATGAAAGAGATACTCAAGTGTTTTGTTACCAAATACGAGTCGGACATACCATTGATGGTCAAGATGTGCCGCAGTTTGCGCTCGTTTAATGGCCTGTGCGAGAGTGACCAGTTGTCACTTATTAAGTACGGTGGTATGGAAGTGCTTATATTGCGCAATGTCAAGCTATATGACAGAAACTGTGCTAGTTGGATTTTGGTCATGGTAATAACTTCATTTAATCACATGATAATTATTGTGCAAATATTAAATATACTGTACGAAACAATTCTTTGATACAGGATTCATGCAATTCAGTGATAATTAAATCGAAAGCATTCATAAATGCATACAATGAAACCGAAAAAACAAGAGCTTATAACAAGATATACAACAATATATACTACAATTCCGATGGAGACAACAATGTGATTGATTTGGTACTTAACTCATTATTTGTTTATTAATAGTTATATTATAATTTATAAATGATATTTTTGTATTTATTTTAGTTATCATTAATATTGCTCTTCGATCCAAACCGTCCGGACATTGAACTGAAACACATTGTAAAGTAAGTTATTATTTGATTAAAACGTGTTGTTTAAAGTATTTAACAATTAATTTTTACATAGATATCAACGGCATGTTTACATGTATTTACTTAAAAGATATTTACAACTCAAATATCAATCAGAATCGGAGGCAAATACACGACTACTAAGTCTAATGAAGATCTTTAAACACATCCGAGAGATGACCAAAACTATTGTTAAATCCATTATTGAAGCCTCTATTCAAACCTCACAACCCATGCAATTATTACAGGAAATTTGTTTTTAATAATAATTGTGTAATAAATTTTACCATTGTTAAATATTTAATTTACTTGACTTTTAACAAAACACAGAGTATTAAAATCTAAATTTAATTTAGAAATAAATTTTATAACTTTCTTATTATTAATAAATTATTAATTAGCAAACTATTAGTAAACATAGTTTTATATAGACGTTAGAAATAATGCATAAATTCTGTATAAAGTTTTAAATTCAGTTTTAAAATTCTGTTAAAATAATTCTAACGCTATCTATTGTTATATAATAGAAATATCTATATAATTAAGTGTTTTACCTTGATTGGTGCACTAATGTTGCACTAAAATTTGCATTATAGAAGGTAAATGTAAGAATTAAACACAGAATAATGTATTTGTTTAGTCGTTAATTTCAAAAACTTGCTCTCTCTCTCTCTCATTAGTGATAATAACATTTGTGAACAATTAATTAATAATAGCAGAATTACATGTTGTATTGACGTATTCTTTCAGCCATTATCTAAATTCAATATACAGTATATTATTGACATTTAGTGTAATACAAAAAATATCCTAAAATATACAGTAACTTTTATTATATTAAAAAAAGAAATGATAAAAGGAAATTTTACGAAATGTAAATTATAATTTAATTTCGTACAGTACCTACCCGTTATTATAACATAATATTTACTGTATTAATTGTAAAAATGTCCAAAATATTAATTTATTACACATGTGCCGTCTGCGGAGATAAAGCGATATGTAAGTATTCAAATGATTAATTCAGATTGTTAAATTAAATTTGAATTATACACATCATTACACATAATCACCATAATGTTTTAATTATAAATAAACATTTTCTATTATATTTACAGGCAATAATTTCGGTGCCGTTACTTGTGAGTCGTGTAAAGCATTTTTTAGACGAAGTGCTCACAAAATTAATGTATGATTTAAATCTAAAAAACAATATTTTAATTATAATTATCATAATTAACAGGAATTTGTGTGTCTTTTTGACAACAATTGCAAAATCACTTCAATTACCAGAAGATTCTGTCGAACCTGTCGTTTAAGGAAGTGTTTTGATGTCGGAATGAAAGAGGTTTTCACTCATATATTAATTATAAATCTGTATTAAAACTAATCATACATTTTATTATACGTTAGGATTGGATACTTTCTGAAGAGGACAAGAATGAGAGGCGACTTAAAAAGGAGTTTAAACGACAGCAACAGATGAAACTCATCGATGAGAGTATTACTAAAGACACTGGAAGTGCTGACATTTGCTCTTCAGATATGACCGTCACGTCCACCACCGGTAGTGACAGCACAAGTGATGGTCAAACATCACGTGATAGTAACAGTATTACAATTACTGAGAATAATATCACATCAGACATAGATGTGGTTAACTATAACCCGCCAATCGCTACCATCGACCGACCCATCGATGACTATAACCCAAAGACATTTAACGAGATTGAGTCCAATCACATCCGTGAACTGTTGTCCGCAACCAATCATTTACTGCTACATTACGTACCGATAATCACATCGGAGTTCATGTCTTACGATGAGTACAAGGATGCGTTACTCTGGAAATGGGAGGGCGATATACCAATGCTAACAAATATGGCCAAAAACCTACACGGCTTTAATACTCTATGCGAGAGTGACCAGATTAGCTTATTGAAACACGGAGCACTCGAGATGATTATATTGCGATTTACCATCGGTTATGATAAGAACAAAAATGACTGGATTGCAGTCCAGGTATAATTATTGCAAAAAAAAATAATATTTAAAATATAAATTTATATGATTGTTAAATATTTGAATTAATTAAAATGCCCAGGGTAATAAAGCCAGATCTAGCCTGGTGTTCTGGAAACAGGGTGATCTGGACCCTAAATTTGATGGACACGTTAATATCTTAACCTCAATGTTAAACTTTTGGGATGGAGACCCGTTTATTATTAATTTGGTAATTGATTTAACAATTAATGTACTTTTAATTTGTTACAAAATATTTGTTTTGTTTAGTTGACGGCTATATCGGTATTCAACCCAAACCGGCAAAACCTCATAAACAGACAGGCAATTAAGTGAGCTATCAATTCATTATTAATACAAATAAGAAAAATTAATTATTATTTACATTATTAAAATAACATAGATTTCAACGCCACTGTTATATGCATTTATTGAAGAGATATTTGCTATTAAAATACGGGTCCGACTGTGAGGTCAGCACAAGATTATTGTGTTTTATGGATAGTTTCAAAAAGATTCAAGACTTGAGCCAACTTTTTATTAATACATTCAGAGGTGTCAAGTGGTCTGTTGTATATTCTGTGCCTCTTATGGCAGAAATATTTGAAATCAGTGATACAAACGAATCATTTATTTTATCATAAATTATGTTTTTAATATTATTTATCGTATTTTTGTAATTAATTGTAAATTATTCACATTATATTATTGTAAGCAATAATTAATTAATTAAAATTGTATTTTCTATTATTAATTAAAATGGTAAATTTCTATGTAAACCATTGGCTACATTAAAACCCTCATACATTTAACAGTCAATAAAAAGCATATTCCATATAATTAGCGTTCGCCACGAAACGACCATAGCGTTAGATGTCACTAACTATACCTGTATTCCTATATTAACATCACATAGAAGGTAGCGCTTTAGGGTTCGTGGTTGGCACTTGGCGAACGCTACATATAATATACCGTTTGTAAGTAATTATTTGCCATAATTTAATATTATCAAGTTAAAATAGCTCAGTAAATATTTGTTGATTTATCAAATAGAGATCACTAAATATTCTAGTCACCTCGCTAATTATAAAATTTAACTAAATTGTAACAGAATTTTAAATGCACATTAATTCATTTGACAAAATAGACATATTCTGTATATGGTTAACAAATTCTGGTAAATATTCCTAACGCTATCTATTGGAATAAATTGTATGAATATCTATATATAATCAAATGTTTTACCTTCGGTGCACTAACTTTGTACTAAAACTCATTAAATTCAGTGAAGGTAAATGTAAGTGTACTGTACAATAGAGAATAATTCATTTATTTATTAATAGTCATCAAGTAATGAAACCTGTTTATTGATTTTGTTGACTATATTGACAATATAATTAACTTATTGCGATACTACAAATATATTGAACTATATAGGTGAGTTTTGAGTTGAGTTTTATCATATTGTATTTTATAAATAATAGTCTTTTAGTGGATTATAATTTTATTTGACTAACAAAGTGTTGAAATTAGTTTATCTACATCCAAATGTCAAATATTTTGTGTTACAAATGTGCAGTCTGCGGAGATAAAGCTCAAGGTAAGAATATAATAAATTTAAATTGTATATTCATTAAAAATGATTAGCATAAACTTTTAAACTTATAAAAATATATTTAATTTAATTAAAGGCAGGAATTTCGGGGTCATTACATGTGAATCATGCAAAGCCTTTTTTAGACGAAATGCACACAAAATTAATGTAAGAATATTTAATTTTCAATAAAAAATATTCAATTTTACAATTATTTAAAGTATATTAATATTTATGTTAATTATTAGGAATTTATGTGTCTTTTTGACGACAATTGCAAAATCACTTTAATTACCAGAAGATTCTGTCGGACGTGTCGTTTAAGGAAGTGTTTTGATGTCGGGATGATTGAGGTTTGCATTCAAATCATGATTATATGTATAATATTGTTTCAAAACTAATCATACATTTTATTATACGTTAGGATTGGATACTCACTGAAGAGGACAAAACTGAAAGGAGACTCAAAAAGGAGTTTAAACTACAAAATAAAATGAGATACAACACCAATGCTTTCACCACAAACACTGGAAGTGATACCAACTCCCTGTCAGACATGTCCATCACCTCAACCACCAGTATTGACAGTACAAGTGATGGTCAAACATCACGTAATGACAACTATGAAGATAATAACATCACGTCAGATGTGGTTAACTATAACGCCCCGATCGCAGCCATCAGCCGACCCATCGATGACTATAACGCAAAGACATTGAATGAGATTGAGTTCACTCACATCCGGGAACTGTTGTCTGCGACCAATCATTTACAGCGACATTACGTACCGATTGTCACATCAGAGCCCATGTCTTACGATGAATTCAGGGAAGCGCTGATTTATAAAAGCGAGAGCGATATGTCAACGCTTGTAAACATGGTCAAACAATTGCACGGCTTTAATACTCTATGCGAGAGTGACCAGATTAGCTTGTTGAAACACGGAGCTATCGAGATGAGTATATTGAGACTTACCATTGGTTTCAATAAGCTTGATAACAGCTGGATTGCAGTTCAGGTACTAATTGACATGAGTTGATACTAAAATATTTATCTAGATATCTAAATGTTTAAATGAATTTAAAATGACCAGGGCAACAAATCGATCAAATTTAGACTGGAGTACTGGAAACAAGCGAGTAATAATGATAAGTTTGACGCTCATTACAATGTATTTGCATCTATGCTAAACCATTGGGATCGAGACCCCGTTATTATGGACTTGGTAATTAATTTGACAAACAATAAACTTTTAAATACTATCAAAAAATGTTATGTTTGTGCTTTAGTTGACGGCTATATCTGTATTCAACCCAAACCGGCCGAACCTCATGAATAGACAGGCGATTAAGTGAGCTATCAATTCATTATTAATACAAATAATAAAAATTAATTGTTATTTACATTATGAAAATAATATAGATTTCAACGCCACTGTTATATGCATTTATTGAGACGATATTTATTACTGAAATACGGGTCCGACTGTGAGGTCAGCACAAGATTATTGTGTTTTATGAATAATTTCAAAACCATTCAAGACTTGAGCCAACGATACATGAATTCATTCAGACGTCTTCACTGCTCTGTCGTATATTCTGTGCCTCTTTTGACTGAATTATTGGAAACGAGTGATGAAAACAAATTACTTGATTTATCGTCACTTGAACTCGTGTTTTAAATATACTATGTATTTATATATTTTGTATTATTCTGTATATATTTTTAAATAAAATATTTATTTTAAATTAATTAATACTGAAATTTAAAAATTCTACAAAATAAATATCGTTTTTCATTTAGTTTTAAATATAATTAACATTAATGGAGTCAATATGAAAACCCAGCAAAATGTCCTTAAATAAATATCAGGATATTAGTACAACAAATAAAATTCTTACCCATACCTACATTTGATAAAGTAATTATAAATAAGACCCTGGTAAATATTTATAAATGTATAACCACTACAAGCAAAACAATAAGTTAAGTACATCATAGCTGGTAACTATTATTTAAAGGTAACAATTATTTCATGGATTGTGTAAATAATAACAAAACTATTAACAACAAAACAAGGTATCCTGAAAAGATATACTCTGGTATAAATAATATATTATTTAAATAAACAATTAATATACAATTTTGTTGGTTATATTTGATTGCTTTTTAAATCAAAAAAAATATTTACCGTAAAAATAATTATTATAAAAAATTGCTTAAAAACTAGTTATGTATTTACATAATAGCATATATTAGGCGTCATTACAAAAGTAGGCATGTATAAAAATACATAATAATGAGGTATATAACAAGACATAAATAAACTCTGAGTTCTACTAAACTCATCATAATGTAAAAATGCATTGTAAAATGAAACTTCAAATGTTACACCTAGATGCTTTCAATATACAAAAATGATGGTAAAAATGTCAAACAAAATTTACAATGTTTTGCGCTGATATTCTCTACGCGCAGGTTTTGTATAATTATATCTAAATTTATATTAAAACGCCTCTTGGTTGAAAAAGTGATTTCAGTTTTTTGTTGGTAAAATTTCGTATTATTTTTTAAAAACAAGTTTTTTATTTGAGAAACAGACAACAACTTTTATGTACTGTATTTACTCTACGGTTATATATAAACTGTTCCCAGAATTTGATTGTATAAACACTCAAATACTTCATTCAATTGCTTTCTTTAAACATTACAATAATTAGTGTTTGAGAATCAGTTGGTTATGAAGTCGTTTAGCTTTTTCAAGGCTTCCCTAACTATACTTTTATTATCGATTTGTATTATAAATATATTTAGATATTCAGTATAGAAATACATTGAAACTACTGTACAATCAATGCCATCAAGAATTGCAAATTACACGCAAAATGTAAAATACATTTATGTTTTTAGTCGGAGAGATACGTTGACATGACATGAATGTATTTTCTCCTTTAATGATCAATAAAAACATTAAATATAATTAATTTGATTGTTTTCTTCTCTGATTTTAATTGTATGAAGAATTAAAAGTCCATTTTTATTTCATTATTTTAATGCATATTTGAATAAAACTATTTTCAAAATATAAAATGATTCCCAAATTGAAAAGTTGAAGAGATTTTCAGCATAAAAATAAAATTATCGTATATTGAAAGCATCTAGGTGTAACATTTGAAGTTTCATTTTACAATGCATTTTTACATTATGATGAGTTTAGTAGAACTCAGAGTTTATTTATGTCTTGTTATATACCTCATTATTATGTATTTT